GATATTACAAAGTGTTTCGTGTTACAATAGCCAGCATTAACTTAGCCAGTTTTTACACTGATGAAATCATGCAGTATCTCACAAGGTTGGAGAGGGGCGATGTCAAGTATTAAGCCCAAAGACATGGAGCTTGGAACTTGATTTTTAACCTAATACAACCTATACCTCCTCCAGTAGCAGGGAAGCATGTAGGGGGTAAGAGGATGGTCAAAGGGCTGTATGGATCCCAAGCCCCCAGGGAGGTTACAACAAGAGGCTTCCCTCTTCCCAAAGAGGTCCCCAACTGATCTGTGGAGTTCAGGGTCCCCCACCTGCCCAGCTCCTGGTCACCTACCTGGACAGGAACTTTAGGAGAGGTGTCTCTTTATCACGCAATAATCTTGCTCATTTTCCATCAGGTAGCTCAGTTCTGATTTGGGAAGAAGACACCCCGATCATGGAGAAATAGGACAGCAATATTTGGGTAAAGATAAAAATGAAGCTCTATATTCAGTCTGGTGTTCGAGACAAGAGCAGGAGCCCAGAATCAGGCTGCTCCCTTCCATGCAAAGAAAATGTTGACCTGTAACCTGGAAATCAAACCAAGAGCACAAAAAACATCCCTGGGGCAAGAGTCTACAGAGGGTCATGATCACCATCTATGTAACATTCATCCGCCTCAATCTCCATCCTACAGAATCCAACACTGTTCAGGGTCAAGCCCTTCCCCCTTTACAGCCATGGGACCCTGAGAAAGAGACATTTCATACCAGCAATTATTTTATAATTAACTCGAGTCAGTGTGTCTCAACCTCCCTGAACAAAAGAACCACCTGGGGATGCCCTGACTATGGGCCAAATGTAACAAAATTCTGGGATGAAGCCTGGACATGAGGAGCTCTAAAAGTTCTCCAGGTACTCAGGGAGGATTGAAAAGCATGGGTCTAAATTGACTGATGACCGACTTTCTGCTCTGTTTCTGTTTTTTTTCAGAAAATGTTGGGTGGCTGGGCATGGTGGCTCATGACTGTAATTCAAGCACTTTGGAGGCCAAGGCGGGCGGATCACCTGAGCTCGGGAGTTCAAGACCAGCCTGACCAACATGGTGAAACCCCGTCTCTAAAAAAAATAAAAGAAAAGAGAATGTTGGGTGTTCTGCTATTTTGGAGCTATGATTTCTGAGGGTGCAAGTGAGGTAAAGGGAATTTGTATAAACTAAGGAACAACTGCATCAACAGTCTCAAGACAGAAATTAATCCTTGTACTATCAATCTCACAAACAGGATATCAAGAGAAAGACCCTGGACAAAAAGCAGTGCACACCATGTGAATCCATACATGTAACCTTCAAGAAGAGGCCAATCCAATGCATGGGGATGGAAGTCAGCACAGTGATGTTAAGGGCCTAAACTGTATTTCTATCAGAGTCTTCTCTAGTAGGGCTGGATATCAATTGGTCATCCATATATTGTAGGAGGAATTCAATAGTTAATTGTACTTCCCTTAATTCTTTTGCCAATGCATTCCCAAAGAGATGGGGACTGTCCCTAAAACCTTAGGGGAGGACAGTCCAGGTAAACTGAGGTGTAGCATGAATGTGTGGATCAGTCCATTCAAATGCAAAAATATATTGGAAGTCGAGGTGTAAAGGTATACAAAAGAAAACAACCTATGAGTCAAATACTGTAAACCAGTTAACATCTTCAGGAACTTGGGTCTATATTGTGTAAGGATTAGCAACTATTGGGACCACTGCCTTATTAACTCCTCTATCCCTATTGCTGTAAACTCCCAAGAGTTGGCTCATTGGAATTTGAGGTCCCACTTCTTCCTTTTGTAGCTTCCTCCTAATGTCAGGGGCAGATTGAGCAATAAAATACACACCCAGGAGAGCTCACCCCTTCAAAGAGTCTTCATTAGTATATTTCTGAAAGCTTCAACTAGGCAGCCCTGAAACAGAGTGGAATTTTCATCTTTCCCCTGAGTTGCTTCTGAGTTATTTCCCCTGAGTTATTTGAGATGGCGTCTTGCTCTGTCACCCAGGCTGGAGTGCAGCGGCACAATCTTTGCTCATTGCAACCTCCGCCTCCCAGGCTCAAGCAATTCTCCTGCCTCGGCCTCCCAAATAGCTGAGACTACAGGCATCTGCCACCACGCCCAATCTCATGCTGAAATTTGATCCCAATGTTGGAGGTGGGGGCCTAATGGGAGGTGTTTGGGTCGTGCGAGCTGATCCTCCTGAAGGGCTTAGTGTTGTCCTCATGGTGATGAATCACTTCCCCCTTGGTGAGTTCCTGCCAGAGTTCCCTGGGAGCTGATTGTTAAAAAAAAAAAAAAGCCTGGCACCTCCCCACTCTCTCTCTTCCTTCTGCTCTTGCCAAGTGATCTCTGCACTCCCGCTCCCCTTTGCTTTCTACCATGAGTGGAAGCAGTTTGAAGCCCTCACCAAAAGCCAAGCAGATGCAGGTGCCATGCTTCTTGTTCAGCCTGCAGAACTGTGAGCCAAATAAACCTCTTTTCTTTATAAATTACTCAGCCTCGAGTATCCTTTATAGCAACACAAATGGACTAAGATAGCTAGGGTGATGTCATTGGAGACCATGGTGAGCTCCTGGCCCAGGGCAACATCATCTGGGATGTGGAACCGGGGTATCCCTTTTAAAGAGAATATCCAATCGAGTTGATATGTGTGTTGTTTTAATGGCTCTATGGTACTAGAATGAAGCTGAGAGGCGGGAGCTTCAGCATCATCCTGTAGGCAGGACTTCTAACTTGGCCAATTATTGTGGGCCTTTTGCCTCAGTTGTTGGTTTGACTGGTGATGGAAAAACTGGCAAGATCTTTGGATGGTAGGGCTTGTATTAGGCAAATGCAAGCATATAGGCCTCAACATGTATCATCTGATTGAAACAATGGCTGATTTGAAGGGTTTGGGTCCCTGAACTGCAGATCAATGAAAGCAGATGAGTAATTGCCTGGTCCCTGGGACAATCTATGATTAATGGATCATGGGAAAATATGCACCCTTGATCTGGCCTACAGCACTTACGGAATGAGGGAAGACTGAACATTTATTAAGATAGATTAGGACCTCCAGCAACATAGAGACCCATTTAGGGGTCCACTTGCTAGACTGGAATTTGAAAAGAAATTGAGGAGACCTCAATTAAACTAGCTATCTCAGCTGGGCACAATTCCATTGGGAGGCTGGAAGCCTGAGATGGGAGGTTCACTTGAGCCTGGGAGATAAGCCTGGGCAATGTAATGAGACCCTGTCTCTATAAATAAATAAATAAAATAGAATAAATTGACTATCTGGCATCTATCAGGGACATGAAAGTTCCATTGGATAGCTTCACCAAGAACCCAGAATTGTGTATTCTGGGAAATGAAATGTATGCCTTGGTTATTATCAGTCATATCTAACTCTGAAGGAAATAAAGAGTTATTTGGCCTTGTATTGTGGCCATAGATGTAGAGACATGTGTGATTTACATTTATGCTTTAGGTATCTGTGAGGTAGGAGATTCCTAGAGCTTTTTACTCTGAAATGGACAACTCTGAGGGAATGGCCCAGAAGTTTGCAATAAATGTGAAGATGTGGCCATTTGTTGACCAGGTCATCCAGTGCTAAGATGACTGCCTGAAGTTTGACCAATTGTGCCTGAAGTTTGACCAATTGTGTTGACTCTTGGGGACATCCTAAGAGATGCAATGTAGCAAGATTCCACTAATTTAAAAAACAACACGCCGGGCGCGGTGGCTCACGCCTGTAATCCCAGCACTTTGGGAGGCCGAGGTGGGTGGATCATGAGGTCAAGAGATCGAGACCATCCTGGTCAACATGGTGAAACCCCGTCTCTACTAAAAATACAAAACATCAGCTGGGCATGGTGGCGCATGCCTGTAATCCCAGCTACTCAGGAGGCTGAGGCAGGAGAATTGACTGAACCTAGGAGGCGGAGGTTGCGGTGAGCCGAGATCACGCCATTGCACTCCAGCCTGGGTAACAAAAGTGAAACTCTGTCTCAAAAAAAAAAAAACAAAAAAACACACACACAAAATCAATATTTATGATGGCTGACAGTATCATTCACACAGTCTGCAAACTCCTATTGCTGTTTACTTGGTTAATCCCAAGGGGCTCCCCAGGTAGCCAACCGGTCTAGGAGAGGGGGTGACTTCCTCCAGTACCATGGCATGTGGCAAGAGACTGAGGACACAGGAGACCACCCCTCTTGTAGATGGAATATGCCAGAGGGCCCAGATTTGGCTCTATCCTGTTGAGGCCTCGGTAGTCATGCCAAGTTTATGGGTTGCTGTTTCTTGACCCAAAACAAATGGGCAGCTAGGTATTAGGTCTGTGAAAGTCTCTGTTTCTAGAAGAGCCTACTATGTAGCTAGTCCTTTTGTTTTAATGGAGGCCTAGCATGAATTTGAGAAGGGCAGTTTCTTTTATCAGAAGCCCTTGGGAAACTTCTGGCCATCAGATGTGGTCTAGAGACTCAAGGACACATGAGAAAAGGTTGCCAAACCTTGACAGTGAAGGGATCTCTTAGGGCGCTAACAAATGTGTCAGCTGATGTGAATGTGGGCAGATTTTAAAGCCTTTGTTGGAGAAATCACCCTGTCTGATATTACAGGTTATTATATAGATAAGGACACAAGACACTGGTACTGAGGAGGGGTAAACAACGTAGGTCTAAAGAACAGAATAGAGAACCCAGAAACATGCAAAGAAAATAACCAACTAATTTTTAACAAACCAGTAAAAGCCCTGACCGGACAGCTTATCTGGTGAATGATACCATACACTTGAAGAACTAACACCAATCCTTCTTAAACTTTTCCAAAAATCGAAGGAGAGAGCACTTCCTAACTCATTTTATGAAGCCAGAATTGCCCTGATGCCAAAGCCAGACAAACACAAGAAAACTACAGACCAATATCCCTTAAGAAAATTGATGTCAAAATTCCAAATCAAATATTAGCAAACCAAATTAAGCAGCATGTTAAAAGGATTATAAAGCATGCCCAAGTGGAATTTATTCCTAGAATGCAAGATGGTTCAACACATGAAAAACAATCAATATACTATACCATAGTAACAGAGTAAACGGGAAAAATCATCTATCTTGATGCAGAAAAAGCACTTGACAAAAATTCAATACCATTTCATGTTTAAAAAAAAAACACTCAAGAAATGAATAAAAGAAAACTATGTTAATGTAACAAAAGCCATATATAAAAAAAACCCCACAGTTAAATCATTCTCAATCGTGAAAAACCAAAAGCTTTCTGATCAGGAACAAGGCAAAGATGTCCTCTTTCTTTACTTCTGTTCAACATGGTACTGGAAGTCCTAGCCAGTGTAATTATGAAAGAAAAGAAGTAAAAGGCAGCCAGATCGGAAAGGAAGAAGTAAAATTATTTCTGATCACAGGTGATGTTATCTTACATGTTGATAACTCTAAAGGTTGGCAAGATTGAAGAGTTCTGGAGATGAACAGTGGTGGTGGTTGCATAACAATACGAATCTACTCATTACCACTGAAGTATACACTTAAAATGGTTAGGATGGTAAATTTTGTATTATATGTATTTCATCATATTTTTTAACATTTTAAAATAAACTATAAAAAACTATGGTGCACTCACCCAGCAGAGCACTACTCAGTAGTAAAAGGAATGAACCATATATACACAAAGCATGGATGATTCTCAAGATAATTATGCTGCATGAAAGAAATCAGACCACAAAAAAGTATAAATACTTTATGATTCCAATTGTATTAATTCTAGAAAAGGCAAACAAATCTCAAGTGAAAAATGTAAATCAATGGTTCCCTGGGAAGGCAAGGAGGGCTTGTAAAGGGCATGAGGTAGCTTTGCATGTGATGGATACGTTCATTATCATGGTTATGGTGTTGGTTCCCTGAGTTAACAAAACTTACCAAATATGTACAATTATTGCATGACAATTACATATCAACAAAGCACTGAAAGGAACTGTTGCACATAAAAATCCAACCTCCTACTCATGTTAGAAAATCAGATTTGGCAACCCTATATTGACTCTGCCATCTCTTTCTTCTTGCTTTGGGAACAAAGAATGGCTGGCTACGTCATAGATGCTATAATCCCTGTAGTATAAGATCTGCTTTTTCTTAGTCCCTATTTTCCTGCAAGCACAGCACTGGCCTTGAGCTGCACAGCACAGAGACAGTAATCCATAAAACTAAAATCTTGAGATTATTTGCTCTGCCAGTAACATTAGTCCTAGGACAGAGGTCTAGAGGTCCTGAGAATTTCTGCAAACCCTGAATCCTGCATAGCCACATTCAAGGGAACATTCATGGGTGCACCTTTAGAACAGGTCCATTTCTCCTGGTTTACTATAATCTCACCTACTCCCTGTTAATCACACCCAGTGTTTTTGTACAATTTATGGTCCCAGCAGGGCCTTGTAGGTCTTAACAGTTAAGAGACACCTGCCTAATGCTGAACTTCAGGGCATATGGCCCCTTGGCAGGTGCTAAACAGCATCTGCTTTATAGTGTTGGGGAATATGGGGCACCCCTTGGGAATAAGGGACCCAATTCATGCTGCTCCCACATGAACTGGAGGTTGTCACAACTGCCCCCTCCTCGGGGTACAAATTCATGCCATTCAGATCATAATAAATTCCTACAATTTTTCCTAGCAGGACTTGGTAGCAATGTAAATGAGGCCCAGTCTGGATTGACAGCTGTTCTCTGCCATCCTCCTGTCCCCTCCAAGATAATCTGGCCACCCCTTTAGTTTGGTGGATCTTAGCTCTGTTCTAGAACCACCTTACACAGTGATCAGACCATGGAAGATTAAAGGCAGCTTTATCGTAAGGCCTTTATCATCGCACAAAACAGGGTGATACACAAGAGACAAGTTGTTGCACTGAGTAACATGAAGGCTGGATGAATCCATCACAGGCATAACACAAAACCAACAATGTCCCAGAGAAAGGGAAACCTTCTCTAGAACAAGCTGTCAGCAGAACCCTGCTCAGGTCTTCACAGCCAAAGGCTGATCATGTCCACAGCTAAACCAGCCACACAGGGTGGGAATGACGTCTCCCCATGGCTTCAGACTACTCTCAATTCCCTTTAGGGACTGGAAAGGGAGAGGAGAGGTCTGCCTTCCCTGAGCACAGTGGAGTGGTCAACACATTCTCTGGAGAACTGCAGTGTGTGGTGCTGATGTGGCTTCTATCACAACCCCAGCAGTGAAAAAATGCTGATAAAATCCATGGTAAGAGAATGTAACTTGGCTCCAGAAAGCTTCCAACATAGCTAGCATTCCTAGGGAACCTCCCCAGGGTGGGTACGTGGATGAAAAAGGTTCGACTTGTAGTTGACAGCACCCTCAAAAGGTCTGTTCTCAGAGCTTATCTCTGCTGTGTGCTGCTGCACTGAACAGGGACGGAGCACATTCTCCATGCTCCTTTCTCTGGTGTGAATCTTCTGATGCCGAATAAGGGTAGGCCTCTGGCTGAAGGCTTTCCCACATTCACTGCACTCATAAGGCCTATCTGGTTTGTGAACCTTCAGGTGCTGCCTCAGATTGGACCTCTGCCTGAAGGCTTTCCCACATTCGCTGCACTCATAAGGCCGCTCGCCGGTGTGAAGTCTCCGGTGGTTATTGAGGCTGGAGCTTTGGTTAAAGAATTTCCCACATTCACTACACTGGTAGGGCCGTTCGCCAGTGTGAAGTCTCCGATGGCTATTGAGGCTGGAGCTCTGGCTAAACAACTTTCCACATTCGTTGCACTCATAAGGCCGCTCACCAGTATGAACTCGCTGATGTTTCATGAGATCAGAGTTTCGACTGAAGGCTTTCCCACACTCGCTGCACCTGTGAGGCCGCTCACCAGTGTGAACTATCTGATGCTGAATGAGGCTGGCGATGTGGCTGAAGAATTTCCCACATTCGTTGCACTTGTAAGGTCTTTCTCCAGTGTGAACTCTCCAATGTTTAATCAGGCTGGAGTTGCAGTTGAAGGATTTCCCACATTCACTGCACTCATGGGCACTTCTTCCCGTGTGAACCCTCTTATGATGAATGAGGTTGGAACGCTGGCTGAAGAACTTCCCACAGTCACTGCACTCATACGGCTTTTCGCCAGTGTGAACCCTCTTGTGCTGGATGAGGTTGGAGCTTCGGCTGAAGAACTTCCCACAGTCACCGCACACGTGAGGGCTTTCACCGGTGTGAACCCTGCGATGTTTAACAAGGCTGGAGTGCTGGCTGAAGAATTTTCCACATTCGCAGCACTCATACGGTTTTCCTCTATTGTGAACTTTCTGGTGCTGGATGAGGCCAGCGGCATAACTGAAGAAGATTCCACATTTGCTGCACTCATAAGGCCTTTCTCTGCTGTGGATTCTCTGGTGCTGAACAAGAGTGGATTTGTCATTGATGGCATCCCCAGATTGACGGCACTTGTTATGCCTCTGTGCGGTGTGAAAATCCACCACAACTTCAGTGGCCTTATGTGGCTCCCCATTGCTAGGAGTGACCTCATGCTGCAGAAACTCTGCTCTGGCCACAAAGTCCTTCCCGTCCTCCCTGCAGGTGAAAAGCTGCTCTGATGTGTGGTCTCCGTCGGTCTCCACAGGCGAAACCTCGTCCCCCTCCCTTCCAATGGGGTTGTGTACGTTCTGCTGCACCTGTTTCTGGGCAAGGTTTGCACTCAACTCATAGCCTTTCACATATGCCTCACACACAAATGGTTTCTGCCTGGGATGTGCTGCCTGGTGTTCAGCCAAATGCAAGATGTCTTTCAAGCACAGGCAACATATGTCAGAGGGGCAGGTCTTCTCGGGGCACAGAGCTGGCTTGGGACTCCTGTCCTGTGCCACTCCTTCTACAGAAACATTATGCTCAGAAGGTAACTCCTTGCCCTCTGTTCCATGGCAAAAATCTGAAAGCAGAGAAATGCTGCTGACATTCGTATAAACTTTACCTAGAAGGAACGTGCCCTATCACCTATGCTTGGCTGACCTAAGAATGAGTCCACAGGATTGCTGGTAACAAGAGAATGCTCAGGTCAGGATAAGGAATAATCTGCTCTGCCATATACTGTGCCTAACCTGGTCACAAAATATGGGAGGCCTTATCAGGACCAGGGACACAGGAAGGGGGACAGTCTTGGGCAGAGAGGCAGGGTCTCTCACTCACTTCTCTTTAAAGGGCTTTTGGCAAGGTCGGGGCTGCTGGTAGCCTGTCAAGGCTATGCAGTGAGAGCATCTAGACCCAGAAAAACCTGCAGCTGAGTAGCTGGTGTTCGAGCATGTCAAAGAAAAAGCACATATCTCACAACATACTAAGTGTAGGCCAATGTTGCAAAGTGACGCAGAGGAAGCTGAAAGAGAGAAATGGAGGCCAGAAAGGTGGGGCACAGCCAGGGCGTCCAATTCAGAATAGCAATGACAAGTGGACAATGTATCAAGCACGGGGAAGGAAAAGTAGAGACGAGGTCTGGCTACTGGCATCAGTACTAAAAGATGATGAAAAGGAGTGAATATGCTGTATGATGTAAACACAGTGGTGAGGTCACATCCTCCCCCAGCTCCTGTTGCTGCTTACCAGAGCCAGGCCTGCCATAAGCTCCTCTGGCCATGGCTGAAGTCATATCCATACTGTCAGGCACCCAGGGCTCTTTCCCCATCTCCAGCTGGGAAACAATGTGGGACCTGAAAGATATAAGTCCTAAGGGAAAGACAGGGTGGGTCAGTGGCCAGCACCTGCCCAGTTGAACTACCCCATGACAGACTATGGGACAGGAAATCTGAAGAGGATATCTGTACAGGGAGAGAGGGAGAGACAGCTCCCACGCTGCTGTGGGGGTGGATTCCAGAGAGGGAAATCCATAGACACAAGAGACATCCTGGTGGTTACAACAAGCAGTAACCATATCAGTGCTTGGAATTCCTGGCACAGTCAGGCTTAGGAAATAATAGCAAAATGAAAGGCGCAGAATCTAAACCACAGAACTGTCAGATCTGGATAATCGCCCAGGAGGGAGGGAATGGCAGAGTCAGAGGGAGTCGTGCACCTGACTGCAACACCCCTCATGCCTGGAGCTTCCCTGCAAGGCTTCAGGCAGCAGGTGTGGGGGCCGCTCAGGGAGAGGAGTGGGCAATGCACATAGCTTAGCCCTAGAAGCCGCAACACGCATACCAGGAAAGTAGGGATGGAAGCAGTACCAGTGGTCTGGCTGTGGGAAGGAAAGAGCTGTTTCTTGGGCAAAGGGGACAGGCAGAGATGAGCTCGGGACCTTGGGGTAGGGGTGACGGCCTTACCCAGTGAGGCTATAAGTGCAAAGTTTTCCAGCATCACATCGCAGTACAGGAGTCTCTGAGCCTCATCGAGGAGCCCCCACTCCTCCTTTGAGAAGTAAATGGTCACATCCTCAAAGGTCACGCAGCCCTGCCATGATGGGGACAGTTCGTTCCACGATCAGTCTCTGTCCTTGGGACTCCCTATCCATCCCCTGCTCACTCTCCTCCCCAGCTCCAGGAGGTGGCAGGCCCTGGTTCTGTGGGCACCCAGCACACAGCAGCAACAGGCAGGGTGCAGAGAGGCACCCTGTAAGCTCTGGGCCTGAAGTGCATCCTCTTTCCCTAGTATCGCCAATGCCACGCTTCTCAGATCCAAACGTGGTCTTCTCCCTTAAACCCCAGTCCAGAGCCTTGGGGTGAACAGCTCACACTCCCTCCCACATGCAATTTCATTCTTTGGACTGCACCATCCTCACAGCTCCAGACCTCACCACGGCCTCCCACTGCCACTGCTACTCTCTCCCCATCCCAGCCCCTATCACAGCCATCTCCATGGGCTTCCACCTGTCACTCTGCACACGGCATCTGGAGAGTGCCTGGCAAACACAACCCCAATCCCAGACTGCCCCAGACCTTTGATGGCCTCCACTGCGAAGGGCAACACCCAGGTAAGGGGGAGAGGGAGCACTCCACCCTTGCCTTGGAGACCCCCAACTCCCCTGGCCTGGGCTTCAACCTAAGCCACCCATGGATGTCACATACCCTTGGCCTTCTTTGTTGCACATTCTGACCCTGTCATCACTCACAGTCATTTAAAAAAAAAAAAAAAAAAAGTGAACCCCTTTGGCCATCCTACCCCCCACCCACCTAAGGCCAGTAACTCTGCCAACTGACCCCCCCTCTTGTCCCAAGCTAATTCCCCAGCCTGAGGACAAACGCCATCAAGGGTCACCACAGAAGCCTGGAGAGAACACAGATGAGCATATAAGTTCCCGCCCAAGCCTCACTGCAGTATTACCTCCTCTACTGCTAACCCTCAGCATCCATCTCATTCATGTCTACACTCTCTGGGAAGATCCGGCCACCTGCCAGACCCTCTTGTAACCAACCGACTGGCAGGCTGGCGGGAAGACAGGGGCTTAGCTCCCTCCCCGTGCTTGCCAAAGATGTAACCAGGCGTGTCCAGGTTCTTGGGCTCACTTGCCCCAGGAATGGGGAAAGGGTCCTGGCGGCGTGGTGAGCTTACCATTCAAGTAAATATCGGACCCAAATAGTTTTGCAGAAAGTGATTTATTAGGGGGAGGGAGGGAGGGAGAGAGAGAGGGAGAGAGGGAGGGGGAGATGGGGAGGGAGGGGGGGGAGAGAGAGAAAGAGAGAGGGAGGGGGAGAGAGAGAGAGAGAGAGAGAGAGAGAGCCAGCGAGCGCACGAGCGTGCTTGAGAGCGCTCCCATGCTGTTGAGGGAAGGGATCCCAGAGAGGGAAATCCCTGTAGGTATGGGGGCAGTGGGATTTTAACCCTGAAGTTACTCCCGCCTTATTCATGTTCTTGTCCAATGAGAGGAGTTCTTTCAAACGTCCTCTGGAGTGATTGACCTTTGACTCGGATCCTGGATTGGTTGTTTGGGCCCACAACAGAGCCCCTTCTCCCAGGGCTTTTAGCTGGCTTTCTGAACAAAAGAAGCTCACCTGGAATTTCTACCTACCCGGATGGGGTGGGGGGTGGACGAAGAAGGTATGGCGCTGGGAAATTCTCGCCTTTGAAACAGGCAATTTTCCTTAACACAGTCCCTCACTCTGACACCCCCACAGACCCCCACCGCCACCACCGTGACCACTACTGTTCCTCACCTGTCTTTACGATGCCAAACAAGCCACAGTTCCCAAGCAAGAACCCTCCTTTCAGTTTTCCAGCCCCACCTTCCTCTTTTTTCAACATCATTGTCACCACTACTTGAAGTTTTACCTCCAAAATCTGACACACAGCTACGCTCCCGTCCACACACCAGATGCCACATTTTGGATGTTTCTAACTGCTGAAATAAACAAAGACCAACGAAATGAGAAAAGCCCAGGATACTTATTCAAAGTTCGCTATAGCAAGAGACTCAATGCAAGCCAAGAGTGGGAAAGCCTGTAATCCCAGCTACTGGGAAGGCTGAGGAAGGAGAATTGCTTGAACCCGGGAGGCAGAGGTTGCAGTGAGCTAAGATTGCACCATTGCACGCCAGCCTGGACAAAAAGAGTGAGAAACCGTCTCGAAAAAAAAAAAAAAAAAAAAAAAAAGAAAGAAGAGAAAGAAAAGGAAGGTTTCAGGCGTGCCATGATTGGAGGATCCTATTTGCAGGTGGGTGAACTAGAAGTGGGCATCCTATGTGATTGGTTAGGGTGTATAACTGCCTTTCTCTGGTTGGTCTTAAGTCAGAAGCAAGAGTTAAAATGAGGGAAGGTGTCTGTTGTTAATCAAACCCTGGCCGTTGGGACTGCTCATTACAGAAGTTATTGTTTTAACTTCCTGGATTGTCAGTCCAGATAGCAATCTGGCTTCCCTCCGGTCTGACAGACAGTAGGCTGGCTTCCTGCTGCATGGATTGTTTATTGTAGATAGGGGGTTGGTTTCCTGGGCAGGCTCTGGGGCACGATCTGGCCATTGTTCACATGAATATCCAGTCTCTCATAACCTTAACAAATCCCTCAGAACACCCTAACTGTGTGTCTAGCTGGCCCACTCTTCAACTCCACTCCTGGGTCTCTGGGACATCACAGGCTCGACCTGGCCAAAATCTAACTTCCACTGGTTCCATGGAAAATTCCTCCTACAACCAACTTAGTTCACGAAGTTGGGTTCATCAAACAAAAACCACCAATTCCTCCCTCTTTCTCCCCCTCCACATCAGAAAATTTCGTCAGTCTGACTTAAAAGACATCAGGTTCCCAATCACTTTCTCTACCTCTAGTCCCCACCCCCGCCCGGCCGGCAGCAGCGCTGGCCTAGGCTATTCCACTAGGCTATTCCTTGGCCTTCCTGCCTGCGGCTCACCCCGTATTCAGTTCTCCACTCTGCATCCATAGGGAGGCTATTAAGACCAGAGTCACAGCATCCCCCTCCTCTGCCCTAAACCTTCCATGGCTCCCATCGCCCTCAGAACAGAGGCCCAACTCTCCGGCCTGCCGTTCTGGGCTGTCTTCGGCCCACCAGCTCTCCGGTTCCAGCAGACATAATACTAGTAACAGTGACCTGGACGGGGTTCCTGAACACTCCCAACTCAGTCTCCACACCATACCCCACCCCACCCCCAAGCTTTTGCGCAGCTGGTTCCTCTGCCTACAAAGTCCTTTCTCCCTTCATCCCATTACGTTTCAGAAACGGAAGCCTCTCTATATAAACCCTGCCTTGATTCAGGATCCCAGCTGGGAGCGTCTCCCTTCCAGGGTCCCCTGACAAAAAAGCAAGGAAATGGGAAAGGCGAAAAGTCCTAGAACAAAGCCATCTTTTGCATCTCAACGCCAGGAACAGGAGGGCCTGACGCGCAAGCACTCACCTGCGCGGGGTCCCGCAGCGCCGCCGCCGCCGCCATTGGAGTCGGTGATCTGAGCAGGGCTCCAGGGTGCGGGCGACCGCGGGGCGGGGGTGGGGGTCTCGCGGGCTCAGGCTACCACCACCTGGCGGTGTCCCGTGCGAGGTTTGCACTCCCAGCCTCAGTCTCCCCCGTGCAAAATGCGCACGGGGCCCGGCGCGCAGGCTCTGGGGGCGCCGAGAGCGCGCAGCTCCGCCGGGCACCCCAGTTGCAAGGGGTCACGGTTGGTGCAAAGGCGCGGAGGGGGTCCCGGCCTCACAGTCCCTCGCGCGGTCTGCTTCACGGGGTCGGCCCCACCTCCTGGGGGCTCAGCCTCCCCGCCGGGAAATGACCTGTGAGGCTGCAGCGCAGGAAGTTCCGGCCCCCACCCAGGCGGCCCGGAGAGGCGCCCTCTCCCGGACTGTCATAGGGCTGGCGCCCGCCGCTGACACACAGGCCGGGCCTGGGGATCGCGAGTTCCTGCACAGCCTCTCGCCTGGTGGGGGGTCCGGGGCGGGACTGAGAGCCCACCTCGCCGCGTCCCCGCCGCCGCCGCCTGCAGCCCTCGGGCGTTCGTCTTAAAGGGGCAGCTCCCGAGCCTGCGGCTGCCAGCTACACCCCGCCCACCTCGGAGGTCCAGGAGAGGCCTAGGCAGTGCGCTTCTTGCGCGTGTGGGCGGCGGCGAGCCGCTTGACCCCTAAGGGACCTAAATTCACACTGAAAAATGTTGATAGTACCCAATGGGCGGGGTCTTTGCGTAGTGATATTAAATGTTGCTGTCATTCAGGGCTTCTCAAACCAGCAACGTCAGCATCACCTGGGGACTGGCTGAAAATGCAAGTTCTGGGGCAACAACTTAAACCTAAGGACTCAGAAATTCTGGGGATGGGGCTCAGCCTTCTCTGCTTTTCGCGGGGAGGCGGGGGATGGGTCTCGTTCTGTTGCTGAGGCTGGGGTGCCGTGGCGTGGCGTAATCATAGCTCACTGCAGCCTCCACCTCGGGCTCAAGCCATCCTCCTGCCTCAGCCTACCAGGTAGATGGGACTACAGGCGTGCACCATGATACCCAGCTAATTTTTAAATTTTTTGTAGAGGCTGGATCTCCCTGTGTTGTCTAGGCTGGTCTCAAACTCCTGAGCTCAAGTGATCCTCTCACCTCGGCCTCCCAAAGTGCTGGGATTATGAGAGTGAGCCACGGTGCCAGGCCTCCTTCTCTGTTTTAACAAACCCTCTGGGGACTCCAGTGTGGCTCTAATTTTAGAGCAGGGACTTCCATTGAAATCCAGTAAATAAAATGGGAAAAATAACACTACATGTCTCATGGCGAAACCAGCTTTGCAAAAATTATAACTGAGAAAAGTATGGCAGTGAGAGATCTGACCTAACGAACTCCATCTTGCTTCTAACCTCCAAGCTGTCCTTGTTCATTCCTGAGCATAGGCCTATTGAACTTTGGGAGAAACTTAATTTATAGTTCTACTTTGAAATAAAGATAACAGCCCATTCCCAAAACAAACCCTCCCTTTGTAGGATTAACAAATTCACCACAAGATTAGAGATTGTGGTTTTGGAGTCATGCAGCCAGAGGACACAAGGTTCTAAACCTTCCCAGTTGCTCCTGGGGATAACATCACTATTGTAAAACTTTTTTTTTTTTTTTTTTTTGAGACGGAGTTTCGCTCTTGTTACCCAGACCGGAGTGCAATGGCGCGATCTCCGCTCACTGCAACCTCCGCCTCCTGGGTTCAAGCAATTCTCCTGCCTCAGCCCCCCGAGTAGCCGGGACTACAGGCGTGCACCACCACGCCCAGCTAATTTTTGTATTTTTAGTAGAGACGGGGTTTCACCTTGTTGACCAGGATTGTCTCGATCTCTTGACCTCGTGATTCACCCGCCTGGCCTCCCAAAGTGCTGGGATTATAGGCGTGAGCCACCGCGCGGGGCCTACTATTGTAAAACTTAAGATTGGTGCTCGAGATATTTTTCAGACCCAGTACTCCATGGATCAGCTAGGGCCACCCAGATTAATGAACTGGGTCATCTGGTCCTGTGGTCCCCACCCAGGAACTTAGCGCAAGGAGACAACTTGAACTCCCTATGATTTTATCTTTAACCCAACCAATCAGCACTTCCCACTACCTGGCCCCCCACCCACCAAACTGTCCTTAAAAACCTCTGATCCCTGGCCAGGCGTGGTGGCTCACGCCTGTAATCCATGCACTTTGGAGGCCGAGGCGGGCAGATCACCTGAGGTCAGGAGTTCAAGACCAGCCTGACCAACATGGTGAAACCCCGTCTTTATTTAAAACAAAACAAAACAGCAACAAAAACACCTTTGATCCCTGAATTTTGAGGGAGATTGAGTTGAGTAATAAATCTGTCTGTCTCTCGCATGGCGTGGCCAGCCTCCTGTCAATTAAACACTTTGTTTACTGCAATGTTGTGGTCTTTTTGCAGTGGGCAAGAAGAACCCGTTGGGTGTTCACGATGATAGATAACAGGGCCCAGGACACAGTTCCTGCTGCCTGCATAAAAGCTATTGTCATTACCAACATCATCATCACAAGAATCTCACAAACACTGCTGTGGGGTGGCAGGGAAGACATACCTCTGTGCAGTCTTTTAGATATTTGTCAAAATATACAATGACTCTAACTCAGCAGGTACTGCCTCAGAAATAATAGTTACGATTTTTATGAAAAGACACTGTAGTAACATTTGCCTACTTGATTTTATTTTCTTATTATAGCTACATTTTTTTGTTTTTCTAAATTGACAAATAAAATCATATGTAATTACTATATGCAACATAATGCTTTGAAATACACATACATTGTGGAATTGATAGGGACAGGAGGCAGGGAAATTCTGGACAGAAGAGGGTGGGTCTATCAAGCCGAAAAGCCTGATACCACAGCCCAAAGTGAGAACTTACATCCCTGTTTTCCCACTCAAATGTTGCTGTTTCCAAAACCACCCGTGGTTCACCCTGCCACCCATCCTGTGCCCATAAAAACCTCAGGTTCACCCAGCAGAGAGAAGAGAAGCAAGCAGCTGGACATCAAAGACTATGGTTGGATGTTGGAGAGAAGTGGCCTGACTTCAGAGGGACAGCTTGACTGTGTAGCTTTGGAGAGGATGGCCAGGGATGGCTGAATTTCAGGGAAAGATTACCTTCCTGCTCCATCCCCTTTTCAGTTCTTCTTCCTGCTGAGAGCCACTTTCACCAGTAATAAAATCGCCTGTATTTACCATCTTCAATTCATTTGTGTGATCTCATTCCTCCTGGATGCCAGACAAGAACTTGGGTACCACGAGTGTGGGTACAAAAGGCTGTCACGCTGACCTTCCACTGAGCTGTTAACAATTAAGCCATCCATAGATGGCAAAGCTAAAAGGACACTGTAACACTTCCTCTGGGACTTCAGAGTCACAGTCATTTTCCCCTAGGTGCTGCCGCAGGGCCAGTATAAAATTCGCTCTTGCTGGCATCCAAAAGCTCACTCCAGCTCCTGCACCTGCGCACCTGCACTCCCCCTCGTCCCTGCCAGAGCCCATGCACTCTAGTTTCCACTGAGGAAGGGGTCAAGGAAATATCCTGCTTCAGAATGACCAAATCAAGCTAATTAACAGATGCATCCCTTCACATAGTTTTGTTCTGTTTTGAGACAGGGTCTCATTCTCTCACCCAGGCTGGAGTACAGTGGTGCTGTCACAGCTCATAGCAGCCTTGGCCCCTTGGGCTCAAGCCATTCTCCCACCCCAGCCTCCCGAGTAGTTGAGACTACAGATATGCACCACCACACCCACGGAGAGAAGTTTGCACCTCTGTCCTGGGGAGAAGGGAGGCTTTGATGCACAGTCAAGAGGGAGTTGCAACGAATGGGAATGAGACCATTTCTCCATGCCCCACCTCCACAGTGAGAAAGTCTCCCTCACATCTTCTGAGACCCCTCTGGGAATTCCTTCACTGGTGGACTCCGCAGGGTCATTTTCCTCTGCCTATCAGGGTGGTGCTCGAGTGTCCTTCTTTTTTTTTTTTTTTGAGACGGAGTCTCGCTCTTGTTACCCAGGCTGGAGTGCAATGGCGCGATCTCGGCTCACCGCAACCTCCGCCTCCTGGGTTCAGGCAATTCTCCTGCCTCAGCCTCCTGAGTAGCTGGGATTACAGGCACGCGCCACCATGCCCAGCTAATTTTTTGTATTTTTAGTAGAGACGGGGTTTCACCATGTTGACCAGGATGGTCTCGATCTCTTGACCTGGTGATCCACCCGCCTCGGCCTCCCAAAGTGCTGGGATTACAGGCTTGAGCCACCGCGCCCGGCCTTCGAGTGTCCTTCTTTAAGAAAAGACTGAGCAACGATCACAGATTGGGGATCACTGAGACAATAACAAGTAAGTGCAACGTGGGACCCTGGAATGCAAACATTGGCTGATGAAATCCAAATAAAGTCTGGAGTTTGGTTAATAGGATTGTACCAACGTGAATTCCTTAGTTTTGAGAATTGTGTTGTGGTCTTGCGAGATGTTGGCATTGGGGAAGAGGAGAGGAAAGTATATGGAAACTCACTTGCATATCTCTTAAAATGAGTTTTCTTATTTATTTATTTATTTGAGATGGAGTCTCACTCTGTTACCCAGGCTGGACTGCAGTGGCATGGTCTCGGCTCACTGCAACCTCCACCTCCCAGGTTCAAGCGCTTTTCCTGCCTCAGCCTCCGGAGTAGCTGGGATTACAGATGCCTGCCACCAGGCACAGCTAATTTTTGTATTTTTAGTAGAGATGGGGGTTTCGCCATGTTGGCCAGGCTGGTCTTGAACTCCTGACCTCAGGTGATCCACCTGCCTCAGCCTCCCAAAGTGCTGGGATTATAGGTGTGACCCACTGTGACCGATGATACTTTTAGTTTTAATGGTATCATATATAGACAGGCTGCCCCAATGCTGACATTAATTTGAAAAAAAAAAAAGCCGGGCGCAGTGGCTGAAGCCTGTAATCCCAGCACTTTGGGAGGCCGAGGCGGGTGGATCACGAGGTCAAGAGATCGAGACCATCCTGGTCAACATGGTGAAACCCCGTCTCTACTAAAAATACAAAACATTAGCTGGGCATGGTGGCGCGTGCCTGTAATCCCAGCGACTCAGGAGGCTGGGGCAGGAGAATTGCCTGAACCCGGGAGGCGGAGGTTGCGGTGAGCCGAGATCGCGCCATTGCACTCCAGCCTGGGTAACAAGAGCAAAACTCCGTCTCAAAAAAAAAAAAAAAAAAAAAAAAAAAAAAGAAAAAGAAAAAAAAAATACTCTTCCACATTTACTTATAGTATCTCATGGTTTCTGTGCTTTACGATGAGGGTTTGCTGCATTTGGAACGGATCCTGATTTGAGTTGCTGGCTACGTGCCTTGCCTTCCTCCATAACACCATTCCCAAGGCAGTGCCTGAAACCTACTAGAGAGTAGTTCATACAATAGTTGTTGTACGAAAATATTAGTGCTCAGGTCTGCCAACACGTCCTCTACTAAAACCGCTGTTCTTTGTTGCCTGCAATGCACCAGACTGTGTGTCTCCAGTTTCCCTTGGTTCTCAT